ATAAGTTTTCTATAAAAGATTATCAGTATTTGTAAGATATATTTTCGATATCATTATTTTATTTATGACACGTATATTTGTATTACTTATCCCCATTATGGAGAATGTACAAAAATGCCAAAAAAATGCGTTTAATGGCACAAAATGTAATATTTATTTCGGTAATCGTTCTTTGTAAACAAAAAGTTATAATTTCTGAGTTGTATAGCTAAGCAAGAAAAAAAAAAGAATTATCAGATGACACAGAAGCAAATAGGTCATGATTTATGGAGATATTAATGTCACCATATCTTAATTTGTTTTTCCAAAACGTATAGATACAAAAACACCGAATTCATTTTCGACTCGTTCAATAATTTTAAATACAATACAATTTTCAAGATCTAAACGTGTTAAAAATTTAATATACCTATTTTTTTGTAATAACCGGAAGAATCTGACAATGAGAACAACATGAATAAGTATCATTTCAAAATTTTATTTTTACTTTTCTTACATGAAATTTTTCAACTATATTTAGTGCAAAAATTAGTAAATTAAAAATTAAAAAGATACAATCATCAGAACACATGTTACGAATAAATGTTTTTGTTTGGATACTTGCTTGAGTGTAGTACTTTTTAATTTGTTAATTACCTGTAAGATCAAATTTTTGATATCTAAATCGGTTTTTCTTTACTCTGCTCTTACTTAGATGAATTTTCTTATCTAATTTTTGCTGCAATGAAAGTGCAAGTAATATCTTTCTTGTCTTGATCAGTAAGTTCCCATTTTACGGTAACAGTAACCTAAAAGTGAACACTGTGTAGGTATTTCGCAAACAAAAAGTACAAAAAAAAGTTTCCCTTTAACATAATCGTCGAAGGTCCTTTATGTTTTGCATATGTGAATTAAACTTACTTGGGGATATTTTTTCAAAACTGGCAGAGTTGCTTTGTACAAATAAGTTTGTCCAGCTTTTAATGGACATGTTAAGCCTGAGTTCACGCATCCATTATCGTTTGTTAAATGAAATGGTACTGGGATATCAAGAAGAATTCCGTGGACTACAGCTTTGACCACATCGATATCTTTTTCTGAAATTATTTATCTTTGAAATGATTCTCAGTAAATCGTTTTTAATTTCCTGAGAAGAATATTAAATGTGTAAAACCATGCAATTAAAATTGTACCACGTTACTACACAGCTATATAAAAGGTAAATTATTAAAGTGTTGAATAATAAACTTTTCATGCTTTTTGTGAGCAAAGAACGGGCCTTACCCTTTAAGTGCTAATGTAAAAACGTATTTTTTTACAAGCTGAGTTTGTTATTAGAGGCAAGTACCTATGTAATTATTGATGTGGGATATGTATTGTCGATTGTCGTCTAGGAATTTGTGATAAATGTCAGTAATCATTAAAATGATTGAATCTACAATAGATATATGCCTTTTTTTAAAAAAAGAACTGATTATTAAGAACACAAGAGAATAATATTTGTGCCAATTGGTGAAAAAGTGAACCTTTCAGTATTTTTTAAAGAATCTGCTGAAATATTAAGCACTGGTTAAGTAATGTCTGTTACATAACGAATGAATATCGTTTAGAACTCTGGTGTTAGTCATAAATTCATCATAGTACATTGTTAATGTAGTTTGCTTAGTTTCGTAGTCATTGCAGATATCAGAAACATATACTTCATTCATTTGTTTCCACTATTAAAGTGTAAGCTATAATAAGTGCATCGCAAGCACGATAGTAAGAGGAAGTGTAAAAAAATTTACTCATATTCTTTCTATACCTATTGAATAACTTCACAATAATTACATTCAATTTACGAAAAAGTCATTCCTCTTAATATTTGTTTATTTAGACCTTTTTATGTTAATGTTTTTTTTTTAAATAATCCCATTAAATTTTCAGTTATATGCCCTTCATAAGGCCAACATTTAGAACACGCAAGGACAATTACTAAAGCCTTATTGTTTATTAATAAAATATTGCTTACGTTAGTTGAATCCTGATGGCTACGGGGATTATTATTTATAATTTTAATGCTCTCGTGATTTCTGTTGTTCCTGTTGCGCGAATTTTATGAACAATAAGTATATATATGTAAACTAAAAATATTTCTTACCGTAATTGACAAAACAATTGCTATTCTAGTCTATTATTATAATTTTAGTGATAATCAGTGGAATGAGTGTAAATTACGATGTTTCTTTTTTCAAATATGTTAGACGAGTCGTGTGTGTATATATACTGCATTTAAGTTTTTAATGAAGTGATATTAACTTATTTTATTAACGATGTAAAATGTTAAATTCTTGCCATATTTTTCACTACCTACCACTCCCTAGGAAATACTGTTTTATGGCTTATAAAATTGATGTCACATGAAATATGTAATTTATTGCATTGCCATAAATTCACACAAATTTACAAACTGTTATGTAGATTTGCAAAAAAAATAATATAACAATATTTAAACTACTAATGTTTTATTTATACGCTTTTAAATTCTGGTTATATATAAAGGTAAGTAAACATATTAAGTTTTTGAAAATTCGAATTTTCGTAATTCTTTATCATCATATGAAGTAGACGATACACGTATCCGCAGGAAAAATATTAAGTAGTAACTTTAGTTTATTTAACTTAATATAAGACGAAAATATACTAATCTAGTTTTCGTCAGTGAAAAAGGCAGATTAAAAGACTTCAAATACCTACTAAAAATAAATGAATCGTAATAGTACTAGATGAAAAAAACGAGACAAAAATACGTACACATGTAATAACAGATGTTAATTAACAATTACTTACCCTTTAAATAAATAAAAAATTTTACTGCTACAATGTCACTGATCCTATAAACTTTTCAATGCACCACAATCATCAAACATTTATTTTTAAATTTTTCACCTTTTGCAATAAACAACCGACATCAGCAGAAGACGAAACATTTTTTTGCATCATGATAAAACGTTAGTTAATAAAAAATCATATTTGTTTTACACTGGAAAAAGGATCTGTAAGTACTACCTACTCCATAGTACATACATAACATGCAGGGATGTACAAAATCGTTTTTTAAAAGTACTTAAATGCAAAATGCGAATACTTTTTTGATTTGTTAATTCAAATGTAAAATACATAAAAGATTTCCCTGTTGTATTTTAAATGGTAAATGCAAAATACGTATTTTCAAAATACTTCTTTTCAACTGAATACTTTATTACTGATTAATTTTCTATCGGTGATACTATGCATTTTGCATTTTACTAATACTAATACTAAAATATGTTTGAAAAAGAATTTGAAATAAAATACAAAATGCTTTTCTCAAAAAAGTATTTAAATGTAAGATATTTTTTATTTCATATTTGCATTTTGAATCACATCTCTGATAATATGAAATATTTAAAAGTGAATTCCAGTCTAACAAAATTAAGATGAAAAATACCTAAATGTTGCTTTTGTGTAAACCTGTGTAGTTACGTATATTTAGCATTTAGCAATACACTCGCATACAAAATGCGACATTTGAAGCAACTTCTTTTTCTGATTATCCGATTATATGTATCGTATAATAGAAATTAAAAACAATATATATAATTATGTAATTTCAAATGAGAACTGGTTTCTTTAATAAAATGATCAATAACTAACGTATTAAAAAAGATGCAGCATGTTAAATGGACCTCCAATTTTTTATAAAAATGGCTATAAATCGTAATAAATCCCAATCGGCTTAACTTGCGCCCTTTAAATACACGCATGCTCCAAACCCATGTATATAGGTACTTTTATGTTAGTACCTATAGTGAAAATCCTTTTATTTGAAATACAATTAATAACTTCTTACCTTGTACAGAAAGATTTAAATTCAGGTGCATCTTGTCGGATTCGTCCGCAAAATAAATTAGCACATAAAACTTTCACTTTCTTTAAAATTAAAAATAACTCACCACCTCCTTAACACTTTAACACTTACAGTAAGTAGACGTCCCGATAAATCACTTTTTAATATTTTTTTCTGTTCCTAAACTAACTAAGACCGAATAATCCACAATTACAATAAATATTTTACAAGTTCAGGAACCGACTGTCACGAAGATTAGCCGTAGGCACACTGAATATGCAGTTTTAATATGCTTGAAAGATTTATGCGATAACAGAGTCTATTTAGATGGTTTCGGTCAACCAAGGGCAATAGTTTTTGCTAGAGAAGTGTTTGTTTAATGCATTCCTTTCATTCGAGATATGCTTTGGGCAGAGACGTTGTTAAAAACAGTAAATGTGAATTGCTTTAAAATATAACAAATTTATTGAGAATAAAAATATGTAATGCACGTATTTTTTAAAAGCCTTCCAAATACAATGTATTATACTACCTACTTCTTATATTTTTATNCCTTGCATACCAGTATTTTAGTTTTACTTTTATTTATTTTCATACAGTACTGATCTGTCAGGACCGCTTCCATTTTATTTAAAGCTATCTCTAGGTCCTATCAAAAAACAAAAAAAAAATTACTCTATAATTCAACCAAAGTGCCGATGATGATCTGAATTATTTGTAACGGCTGTTGCATATCTAAAAGCTCATTAGTTAGCCAGCCAATTTATTTTAACATCGCTATTGATACAATATGTTCTATTCAACTAAATGACTATCAATTACTTTATACATCTAGGTACCTACGTATGAATTTATACCATCTCATTTTCTCGCAGTTATAATTTAAGAAGATTACGCCCACAGTATCATTCTATCATGTCGGCTCTATCAGTCGCATTTCCGAGTTAATAACAATGGTGTAGTTATTAGCCTTGAAGTACAATAAACCTAGCAACGAAAAGAAATTGTCGAACTAGTTAAGTTTGTGATTCATCCACATATATACACTTAAATGGTATACAGCATCCCATATTTTCTTTCATACAAATAATAATGAATGTGACTACACGCGAACTGACTTTTGACACTGCGTGACCGAAGGCAAGGTCCATGTCATTCCAAATTACCTCTACACCAACTCCTAGGGGAGCGTGGTTACACAAACCCCTAGGGGTTCCGGACAAAACTTACTTGATCATGATATAAACTGTTGAACCAAATAGACTTAATTTGCGACAAGAAACAAGCACATCCAGCACACTAAATAACAACATATTGTATTGCGGTATAGATAATAAAAACCGTATTTTTTTCTACAGTGAGCTTTTTTACACAGAGGGCTTGCAGTTGAGTAGGTACTTTAGTAGGGGAATCCCTGCTTTAAAAAATTGCGTCCTTAAATAACAGAAATGCAAAAAAAATTATTGAATCAACAATTTTTTACAACCCAGTACATTTAGTTATTTTACGTTAGAACTATAATACTAAGTACTTGTTGTTTACAATTAGTTCATTTTATGAGTCATCTAATTTCCGCATGCATTGCTTCGTTTTAGTACTTTAAATTCCAGAAACAAAATGCTCAAAATGCGCAGTACTGTTTTAAAGTTTAATAAGATTAATTAGATCGGAATGAAGCTTAAATGGTACACAACGATGGCGCAATCGCTAACACAATGTTTTCATTCAGTACTCCCATTATGATTCATTTTTATTTAAAAATAAAATTTTAGGACAGTTCAGTTTCGAATGGAATTAAGAATTATCGAATACCAATTGAATTCTTTAATTCTTTCAGAACGGAGACACTACCGACGACGATTTAGAACTAAGTTCTGAAGATGAAGCTGTTGCCAATGATTTAGACATGCATGCCCTTATTCTGGGTGGTTTGCATCAAGAACAAGAACCTTTAAAAACAGCTGAAGAAGTGATACAAGAAATAGACGATATGATGCAAGAAGATGATGTTTCGTTCGATCGATCTCCAGATTCCAGGGATTATTACTACGAGGCTAACGTAGCTCTTGAAAAAGCTAAAGAAGTTCTTAGTTCACCTCTTTATGAAGACAGTAAGTGTATGTCCCATCTAAATAGAAATATAAATAGCGGATAAATTGGTTCTTACTTATAATTTTCGTACTAAACTTAAAGATTATACCTCAGACTGAGACGTAGAAGTTCTTTAATAAAAATTTTACATGCCTATATTAGATAGTACACAATAATTGTTTCTCGGCTTCTTTTTGGTGCTTATTGTAAAGAAAGGCTTACATAGACTTAGCAGTCGTTGACTGTTATATGATAGGGCTGATTACAAAGCATGAAGTGATGACGTGCTTTTCTCCTTTTATACCGTTTCCTCTCGCACAACTTCTCTTTCTGTCTAATCTGCATGTAATACAATACCTGATTACTCAACATTTGCATTATAATGTTGAAATATAAATGCTCACAAGAGCATAA